AGTCGGCAAATATGACTTTTCGCGACTAAAATGTTTTAGCTACTAAAGGATTAGTCGCAGTAATTATATATTTAGCGACCAAAAATTTAGTCGGCAAATATGACTTTTCGCGACTAAAATGTTTTAGCTACTAAAGGATTAGTCGCAGTAATTATATATTTAGCGACCAAAAATTTAGTCGGCAAATATGACTTTTCGCGACTAAAATGTTTTAGCTACTAAAGGATTAGTCGCAGTAATTATATATTTAGCGACCAAAAATTTAGTCGGCAAATATGACTTTTCGCGACTAAAATGTTTTAGCTACTAAAGGATTAGTCGCAGTAATTATATATTTAGCGACCAAAAATTTAGTCGGCAAATATGACTTTTCGCGACTAAAATGTTTTAGCTACTAAAGGATTAGTCGCAGTAATTATATATTTAGCGACCAAAAATTTAGTCGGCAAATATGACTTTTCGCGACTAAAATGTTTTAGCTACTAAAGGATTAGTCGCAGTAATTATATATTTAGCGACCAAAAATTTAGTCGGCAAATATGACTTTTCGCGACTAAAATGTTTTAGCTACTAAAGGATTAGTCGCAGTAATTATATATTTAGCGACCAAAAATTTAGTCGGCAAATATGACTTTTCGCGACTAAAATGTTTTAGCTACTAAAGGATTAGTCGCAGTAATTATATATTTAGCGACCAAAAATTTAGTCGGCAAATATGACTTTTCGCGACTAAAATGTTTTAGCTACTAAAGGATTAGTCGCAGTAATTATATATTTAGCGACCAAAAATTTAGTCGGCAAATATGACTTTTCGCGACTAAAATGTTTTAGCTACTAAAGGATTAGTCGCAGTAATTATATATTTAGCGACCAAAAATTTAGTCGGCAAATATGACTTTTCGCGACTAAAATGTTTTAGCTACTAAAGGATTAGTCGCAGTAATTATATATTTAGCGACCAAAAATTTAGTCGGCAAATATGACTTTTCGCGACTAAAATGTTTTAGCTACTAAAGGATTAGTCGCAGTAATTATATATTTAGCGACCAAAAATTTAGTCGGCAAATATGACTTTTCGCGACTAAAATGTTTTAGCTACTAAAGGATTAGTCGCAGTAATTATATATTTAGCGACCAAAAATTTAGTCGGCAAATATGACTTTTCGCGACTAAAATGTTTTAGCTACTAAAGGATTAGTCGCAGTAATTATATATTTAGCGACCAAAAATTTAGTCGGCAAATATGACTTTTCGCGACTAAAATGTTTTAGCTACTAAAGGATTAGTCGCAGTAATTATATATTTAGCGACCAAAAATTTAGTCGGCAAATATGACTTTTCGCGACTAAAATGTTTTAGCTACTAAAGGATTAGTCGCAGTAATTATATATTTAGCGACCAAAAATTTAGTCGGCAAATATGACTTTTCGCGACTAAAATGTTTTAGCTACTAAAGGATTAGTCGCAGTAATTATATATTTAGCGACCAAAAATTTAGTCGGCAAATATGACTTTTCGCGACTAAAATGTTTTAGCTACTAAAGGATTAGTCGCAGTAATTATATATTTAGCGACCAAAAATTTAGTCGGCAAATATGACTTTTCGCGACTAAAATGTTTTAGCTACTAAAGGATTAGTCGCAGTAATTATATATTTAGCGACCAAAAATTTAGTCGGCAAATATGACTTTTCGCGACTAAAATGTTTTAGCTACTAAAGGATTAGTCGCAGTAATTATATATTTAGCGACCAAAAATTTAGTCGGCAAATATGACTTTTCGCGACTAAAATGTTTTAGCTACTAAAGGATTAGTCGCAGTAATTATATATTTAGCGACCAAAAATTTAGTCGGCAAATATGACTTTTCGCGACTAAAATGTTTTAGCTACTAAAGGATTAGTCGCAGTAATTATATATTTAGCGACCAAAAATTTAGTCGGCAAATATGACTTTTCGCGACTAAAATGTTTTAGCTACTAAAGGATTAGTCGCAGTAATTATATATTTAGCGACCAAAAATTTAGTCGGCAAATATGACTTTTCGCGACTAAAATGTTTTAGCTACTAAAGGATTAGTCGCAGTAATTATATATTTAGCGACCAAAAATTTAGTCGGCAAATATGACTTTTCGCGACTAAAATGTTTTAGCTACTAAAGGATTAGTCGCAGTAATTATATATTTAGCGACCAAAAATTTAGTCGGCAAATATGACTTTTCGCGACTAAAATGTTTTAGCTACTAAAGGATTAGTCGCAGTAATTATATATTTAGCGACCAAAAATTTAGTCGGCAAATATGACTTTTCGCGACTAAAATGTTTTAGCTACTAAAGGATTAGTCGCAGTAATTATATATTTAGCGACCAAAAATTTAGTCGGCAAATATGACTTTTCGCGACTAAAATGTTTTAGCTACTAAAGGATTAGTCGCAGTAATTATATATTTAGCGACCAAAAATTTAGTCGGCAAATATGACTTTTCGCGACTAAAATGTTTTAGCTACTAAAGGATTAGTCGCAGTAATTATATATTTAGCGACCAAAAATTTAGTCGGCAAATATGACTTTTCGCGACTAAAATGTTTTAGCTACTAAAGGATTAGTCGCAGTAATTATATATTTAGCGACCAAAAATTTAGTCGGCAAATATGACTTTTCGCGACTAAAATGTTTTAGCTACTAAATGGATTAGTTGTAGTAATTATATATTTAGCGACCAAAAATTTAGTCGGCAAATATGACTTTTCGCGACTAAAATGTTTTAGTTATTAAATGGATTAGTTGGAGTAATTATATATTTAGCGACCAAAAATTTAGTCGGCAAATATGACTTTTCGCGACTAAAATGTTTTAGCTACTAAATGAATTAGTCGCAGTAATTATATATTTAGCGACCAAAAAATTAGTCGGCAAATATGACTTTTTCGCGACTAAAAAACTTTTTAGTCGCTAATTACTTTCCGCGACCCTCAATTGGCGACCAAAGTGGCGACCAAAAAAATTAGTCGCGGATGACTTTTGCCGACTAAAAATGGACTTTTGCCGACTAAATTTTTAGTCGGCAAAAGTGTTAATTCTTGTAGTGTGAATAAGGCTGGGATTTGAAGATTTGTTATCTTTAAGGTTTTATAAGGTTTTATGTTTGACTGCCCTTGTTAGTATACAAAAACTTTTAGGTCATGTTTGTTTAGCAAGGTAAGGGGTCGGATTGGATTAGTATGAGCGTGGGTCCCACCTACACATTGTTTGGTGATAATTTGAGAGAGCGATTAATAGTGTGAGGGGCTTAGTAATCCCCCTCGAGAGAGGGATTAATTTGGTTAGATTTTAAGTAGGATTAGAAAAACACTAAGTTGATTGAGTCTATTTTATATTAAAAAAAAAATATTTTTTTAATTTTATTTTTTTTATCAAGTGCACCTGTTTATTTTAATATTTGTTTTAGTTTTTTTTAATATAAAAATATTTTTTTATTTATTTTATATAAAAATAATTTAGCAATCTCATCACTAACCATCTGCTACACTACCATCAAAACAAACATACTTTTACTTAATCCCCTCACTAACAATCCTCACATTAATAATTTATTTATTAACCATCCTCTCACTAACAATCTCATCCAACTTAATCTGTCAGACAAACATAACCTTAGGGTCATAGACACTTTGCAAGGTGAAACTTAATATGGTGTAAAAAAAAAAAAAAAAAAAAAAAAAAAAAAAAAAAAAAAACTATCATTAATATGGTGTAAATTGATCTAGAATATTCTATTTATAAAAGGGCAAATTGCAAATAAAACCCCAATATTTAGCGTGTTTTGCAAATTAAATTTCAGGTTTTTAATTTTGACAATTAAAACCCTGGAGTTTATTATGTCTCACAGTGTAAGCCCCCTCGCCCATCTCCGTTTCATGAAGTAACGGAAAAAGCCATTTTTGGCACCTAAACCAACCCAAAACGACGTCGCTCCTTATTAGACCCATATAAAAGGCCCCAAATCCTTAATTTCACTAATTAGGGCTACAAGCCCTAATTTCTTTTATTTCATCGATTTAGGGCAAAGGGGGTTGTTGCAATTTAGAAGAAAATATGGACCAAGGTTGAAATACTGCTGCTTACTTTTATTTGGAGTGTTGGTAAGTGATTTATACGATTTCTTTTGATTCTTTCTACTTGTAATTTGTATATGAAGTTTTTTCTTTTTCTTTTTCTGATTCTGTGAATAAAGTAATGGCAAACTCTGTGTTTGTATCTTACTTTATTGCATGGATATGTGTGTGTGTTGGTTACTTTATTGTCTTGGATGCTTTGTCAAATTTTTTATCTCCATTAATGGACCACTACATTGACTGAGTGGTTGGACCACTACATTGACTAAGTGATGGACCACTGAATTATCAAATTTTTATCTCCATTGTTGGTCCCATGCCACATGTTCAGTCCATTGATTTTTTATGCATTTTTGTTTGTTTGTGATATATTTGTTTATTTATGAATGCAGCAATGGATGATATATAAATTTGAAATTGGTTTTACATCATAGTGGGTACTTTATAGATAGTGATGGTGGGCCTAGGAGTTACTTTGGGGGTAAAGTACATGTGTTTGATACTATTGATGTTGATACATTTTCTGTGCCTGAGCTGATATTTATGATCATGAGGTTGGGATATGTGATTACAAACAGTTTTTTTTAAAGGATTCCCACAGAAGATCTGGTTAGAGTATTAAGAAGATTAGGTACTGACTAAGGTTTTTTAGAAATGTTTCAATATCTGGGCTCTGCAAACACCTTAGAATTATTTGCTAAGCATCTGTGCCACACAATATAGACACCTCTTATCCTGTTTTGTTCCTTACTGATGTCCCTGTAAATGAGGATGAAAATGCTCAACATCCTCAGTATCATGATTATGAAGATGAAACAAACAGTGAAAATAAGGAAAATGATGACTCATCAGATAGTGATTTCTTAGCTAGTAATGAGGATAAGGATGACCCTACTGAGGATCATGTTTGATGGTAATGTAGAGAAGGAACCAAATGGAGAAAGAGGCAATGCATTTGAGAAATGTGTTATGAATGATGGGGATTCATCTAAGGAAGAATTACTAACCCCTGAAGGATATAGTGAGGAGGGTAATGAGAAGCCAAAGTACCTTGAATTTAGGCTTGAGGTTGATATGGCTAAGTTTGAATTTAAAATTGGAATGTTGTTTAATAATGCCATTGAATTTAGAGATACTATGAGGAAATATACAGTGAAAAGGGGTTATGATGTCAAATTCATAGAAAGTGAGACATGGAAGGTTCAAATCAACTGTAGTGATGGGTGTGAGTGGAGGTTTTATGGCTCTAAGATGAGTAAAGAGAACACATTGCAGATTAAGACATATAAACCTACACATACTTGCAACAGAAGTTACAAGAACAGACAAGTAACTAGTGCATTTTTAGTATCTAAATATGTGAATAAATTCAGGACCACCCCTACCTGGAAAATAAATGAGTTTAAGGACACTATGAAAGATGATTGTGTTGTAGAAGTACCCAAAATGAAATGTTACAGAGCTAGGAAACAAGCATTGGTGCAACTTGAGGGAACAAATGCTAAACAATATACAAAATTGTGGGATTATGCTGCTGAGTTGATAAGGACCAATCCAGGTTCAAGAGTTGACATCAATATATGGAGGCCTCAACTTGAAATTAAGCCTGGGTTCCAAAGAATGTTTGTGTGCCTTAATGGAATCAAAAAAGGGTTTTTAGTTGGTGTAAGGCCATTGATTGGCTTGGATGCTTGTCATTTGAAAGGACCTTGTCAAGGACAATTGTTTGCAGCTGTGGGATGGGATGGAGGTAACATGATTTATCCAATTACTTATATAGTGGCTGAGAGTGAGAATAAATAAAGTTGGACTTGGTTTGTAGAGAATTTGTTTGAATGTATTCGCACAAGTATAGAGCATAGATGGACTTTCACCACTGATCAACAAAAGGTATATTTATGTTTAATGGTTTTTTCGTTACTCTGTTATGTTCCTTAATGTTTTTCATTAGTCATGGTTTTGACATTTATGTTTTGCAGGGACTGGTTCTAACTCTTGAAGAATTGTGCCCTAAAGGCAATTATAGGTTTTGTTTCAGACATCTTTATGCAAATTTTAAAAAGGAGTTTAGAGGGAAGGAGCTAAAGAGTTGTGTATGGAAAGCTGCAAAGGCATATATAAGGGTTGATTGGAAAAAGCATATGACTAAGTTGCATAGTGTAGATAGTAGAGCATATGATTAGATGATAAGACTTAATCTAGCTCAGTACTACAAGAAATTACACTTTTCGCGACTAACGTTTTGGTCGCGAAAAGTACCATATTTGGTCGCTAAAATCTTTTCGTGACCAAAATGTGTTGGTGGCGAGTTGGTCACTAAAGCCTCGTCACAGATAGTTTTCTGCGACCAATCGCCAAAAGTCAGCGCCTTCACCCAAAGAAAAATATTCTTTTGCGCTACCTAGGAGAGTTGAACTCCTGACCAAGGAGTCACTCTCCATGCGTCCAATCCACTCTACCAATAACATGCTTATTATTCACATTTGGCAGAGAAAATATATAACCCATAAAAATTGGCAGAGAAAATATATTATTCACATTTCATAAAACCTTCAATGCCTAAACAGAAAAATAGAATGTAATTACAGTAGTACGCATTTTTTTTAATTTATCCCACCATAACTTTCCACAACCAACTTATTTTTTGGTCACCAAAAGGTGATCTTCAGCGACCAAATTTGTAGTTGGTCACCAATAGTTAAGTCATTCGCGACCAACTTATTTTTTGGTCGCCAAAAGGTGATCTTCCATAACCAAATTTGTAGTTGGTCGCCAATAGTTAAGTCATTCGCGACCAACTTATTTTTTGGTTACCAAAAGACAACCGTCTGTGACTAAATTTGTATTTGGTCGCCAAAAATTAGCTATTAGCCACCAAAAAATTGTGGGTCGCGAAAACATACCCATCAGCGACCAAAAAAATTTTAGTCGCAGGAAGTGGGCTGTTTGCGACCAACTCAAAATAGGTGGTCACCAAAAGTGTTTTTTCTTGTAGTGTTGTAGGCATGCATTGAATCCCAAAACAAAGTGTAATAGATTGTTGAACAATATTTCAAAGTCTTTTAACAATTGGGTCTTACTAGCTAGAGATAGATCCATCCTCACCATGTTAGAGTGGATCAAGAGGGCTTTGATGGTGAGGCTACATGAATGTAGGGACAAAATGATCAAGTACCAAGGGCCAATATGTGCAAATATACAAACTAAGATTGAGAGGTCAAAGGTAAAATCTGGAGTATGGATACCTTCTTGGTCAGGGGGTGCTCTACTTGAAGTTAGATATGAAGTAAGTGGTCATGTTGTCAACTTAGATAATAGGACATGCATTTGTTTCAAGTGAGATCTAACTGGAATCCCTTGTCCTCATGTTGTGGTTGCTATTTTCTTTCAAAAAGAGAGTTAAGGATTATGTGCATGTGGCTTTCAAAAAAGAGACCTACTTGAGAACTTATGAGGCACTGATAAATCCACTAAATGGCCAAGATCAATGGTCTAAGATAGGTTATGACCCTTTACTTCCTCCTAAGTTGAAAAAGCCAATTAGTAGGCCTCAAAAGCAAAGAATTAGAGACCTAGATAAGCCTCAGAACTAATTCAAGTTGTAGAGGAAGTGTACCAGCTTGAAATGCTCCAAGTGTGGTGTACATGGTCATAATCAAAGAACATACAATGGGGCCTGTCAAGGGTAAAAACGATGGAACTGCAAGTTCATCAAAGAATGTAAGTAATGTATTGGTATACTCTACTTGTAATTGATCTCCATGTATGCTCAAACTGTGGTTTAACAATTTTTTGTTAACAGGTGAGGAGTCGACAAACTTTCATAAGATTCAAATCAGATGCAATATCTGGGGAAGCATCAACTAGTAGACAACAGCAACAGCCACCACAAAGGGCATCAACAAAGAGGACATCAACACCAGTAGCAACCATGAGAAGGGATGAAGTTGAACAAGTCTTAGGTAGTCAAGCTAGTGTTAATAGAGACATAGTGAACTGAATGTTGTAATTATGAATTGCTTTTTTATGTAATGGTCATGTGACGTGAAGACAAATTATGGATGGTGAACTGCTTATTTTTGTGGTGAACTACTTATTTTTGTAATGGTGAAAGATGTATAGTGGTTTGGAGCAATATATGGATGGTTATTATACATGCTTGACATCAATGATGTACGCAATTGGATGGTTATTATACATGCTTGGAATGTGTTGTATATTGGTTTGGAATAGGTTGAACAATGACTTCTAATCTGTTTTTACGTACTTGGTTTTTTACATGCTTGGAACAAGTTGAACAGGTGGAACAGGTTGACCAATTGAATGGTTAGTATACATGCTTGGATTGTGCTATATATTGGTTTGAAACAAGTTAAACAATGGCTTGTAATCCATTTTTTACATGCTTGTAATTTGTTTTTCTTTCACTTGGATATTTTGTCAAACACATTCAGAGCATTGGCAAACAAATGCATCAAATTCATTACAAAATGTATACAACCAAACAAACATTACCACAATCTAAACACACATTAAAAACAAAACAATGATTTATCATTTCATTCAAAATTATACATTAAGTTCAAATTGGCAACTGCATAGTTGCATTACATTTCCTAAAACAAAAATGCTAACTAACTAACTAAGTAACCTACATTTCCTAATTACTCACTGTTAACATTCCAATTACAATCACTGCAACAATCAATCCACCTACAATCCATTTTTGTCTACGATGATAAGTTTGAACATCTTCCTCCAATCTTGCAATCTCAGTTGCCATTTCCTCTAAGCTTGCAACCTTGTCCACCAATTTCGGCAACACTTGTCTACCACGAGAACAAGTGGTCGATCATACCAAGAGAAGAAGCCACAAGCCCCTTTTTTTGAAAAATCCAAAAAATATATATATATATATACGTAAATAAATTACAAAATACAAATCAAAGTCAGGTTTTAGGGAACAACAATATACACAAATTTCATATTATTCACGGGAGTGGGAAACTTACTCCATAATTTGGACAACCAAGAAACCTCCTAGCTGAGTTCTCATGGGTCCATGAAGTTCGGATTTTTGCTCTCATTCCATAGCTACAACGAGTCGATTCACCCCAATTGTTTCCACCCCAACTGTTTCCTTCACTCATATTTCGCAATGGTTGAAAATGGAGCTTTGTTCAATAGTGGATTTGTCGTTCATATGCCCCTAAATCAACAAAATCAAAGAAATTAAGGCAAATGGTAGCCCTGATCGGTAAAATGAAGGATTTGGGGCCTTTTATATGGGTGTAATAAGGAATGACATCGTTTTGGGTTGGTTTAGGAGCCAAAAATGGCTTTCTCCGTTATTTCATGAAACAGAGATAAACGGGGGGCTTACATTGTGACACGGAATAAACTTTAGGATTTTAATTGTCAAAATTAAAAACTTGGGGTTTAATTTGCAAAACACGCTAAACTTTGGAATTTTATTTGTAATTTGCCCAAAAAAATAATATATAAACTTACTTCTTAGGCTCAAATATTTAAATAATATGATTGATTCATAATTAAAAAATATATAAAAGAGTTTTAATAGTTTAATTAATTACTGCATTATTGAACTTAAAAATTAAATTAAAATTTTAATTTTGAATAACATTTTTAAAAAAAAAAAATTAACCAACTACGCGATGTTCAGAAAATGCGCATTAAACCAAAGCGGTAGAACGGAGCACGTCCGATCCTTACAATTGTCACTTTATGCAACCTTTTCAAATCCCAATGAAACCTCCTCGGACTAGGGGTGAGTAGCGTATATACCGATCAGTCCAAATTGACCGAACCAAACTGATCCGCCAGATTTTGGACGGATGGCGGATTTTAGGTCTCTTTAGCCGCAACCGAACCGCCAAACCGTGAGCACCCCTAGTAATTTGTAAGACTTTGTGTTTTGAATTTATTTAGATATTTTGTTTGTGTTTTTAATTCAAAAAAAGTTTAAATATTTTGTTGAATATATTCTATTGAAAAAGAGTTTTCAACTTTAATATATTTTTTTAATTGAAAAAAATAAATGTATTATTGATCTATATTTTTTGGTTTTTAAATCCAAACTCTAAAAATAATAAATAAAAAAGATGATATATGCTGGTTAGTTTTTGTTTTCAAAAAATAGATATAGATGTAACAATATAAATGCATACAATTTCTACTGCAGCTCTGTTCATGGTTTTGATGGTTTGAATTGTTTTTGTATTTTAATAACCGCAAATTGTAATACTTCATGTAATACTTTATGCGGATAAGGCATGTTGTGATTGTAATATGTGGATGAGGCATGCAGTAATTGTAATATTCTAAAGTTTTTCTTCCTTTGAATGAGGCATGCAGTGATTGTAATACTTTTTTAAGTCATTGACGGTAATACTTTCTTCTTCTTTTTTTGAAAAAGTGCACCAATTGAATTATGTTGAAAATTTATAAAATTTTAAACTGCCAAATCGGTTTGCATCCATCCGCTAATCCGCTCAATCTATATCCGTCGGATTGGCGAACGGATGCGGATTGATTTGCTTCAATCAACCAATCTGGCAGACAGATAGTGGATTGGAGGTTCAGTGGCCGCAACCGACCCATGCCCACCCCTACCTCCGGCATTGCCTTGCCAGCTGTACACATATTAGCTCCTCTACAGTTGTCATATTTATTTAAGTTTAAAAAAAATATTAAAAATCTCAAAAAATTTAATAAATATCTCACATAAATGTAAGATACACACAAGACTCATGGTCTTACATCCATATGAAATATTTAGTAAAAATTTTAAGAAAATTTTTGAGATCCATTTCTTTACATTATCTACAATTGCCTTAAGGTTCATTTGTTTGTCACTATAGCAATTTGGAGCAGACAAACAATGATAAACAATAACCATATATCATGTTTGTTTCATTTATGGTGCTCCAGATTGGTATTCCGTTCAGATTGTGAAAGGCTTTGGCGAGCAGATTAACA